TATGGATCCTTTCCCCTAGGAAAAGATCCTCTGGAGAAAGAACCACAGGCGAGGACAGGGACAGGGAAATTTCTTATTTTCTCCTAATGGCTCCAATACTGAGGACATAGTCACCAGCAGCCTGATTCTCATTTACAAGTGGCAGCTGCCTTACAAACAAAAGAGGGAAGAGCATCCAGTGGCAAAGTGCCATTGCAGCTCTGGCTCCCCCATTCACTGAGTATCCTCCTGCTTGCTGAAGCTCTTTTTGGACTGGCCAGGTTATCGCGGGGTTGTTAGCCCCACCAGTGGAAACAAAAGCACCTCCAGCCTCAGTCCAAGCCGAGAGGCTGAGCTCAGCACCTGAGCTGGTTTGTGTTATGCCAGTTTGAGAGTCAAGGAAGAGCCAGATTATTTTGCGTACACCACGGGGGATGAGTCCAGATCTCTCTTGTCTCTTTCTCTCTTGTTTTCTCTCTCTCTCCTTCTGCACCCTGCAACACACTGCTGATGGAAGAGGCTCTGCCTGCCCCAGCTGTTTGCAACACCAAAGCAGTGTCCCAGCCTTCCTAATCTGAGGTGCCCAATTGCCTGTCACATCAGGGTTTGGCATGGAAACAGCACTCAGATCACTCAGAGAGAGCCTTGAACAAACAAGCTCTCCACTCGCCACCAGCTCTCTGCTGACACTGGGTGAGAAGCTGGAGGGAGAGAAGAGACAGATAAGGGAAGGACGTGCCTTTTGTCTTTTGTCAGGACTCCAGATATGAGATATAGAGCCCAGCACATACTCCACACCAGAGACACCCTGAAAAACCTTATGCAAGGGAGATTTGTGATGCTTTCAGGATCACTCTGACTCTGGCAAAATTTTCTGGAGGTGTGGACAGGCAGGGTCATCCTCTTGATGAACTAGCTCCTTGGAAGGGAAGATGACTTGGTGAAAGAGAACAGGGACCCTGAGGCTCACCCTTACCCATCCCAACAAATCTTGTAGGGCTCTGAAGCTCCTTTGTTATTGAAATGAAAACTGGGGATCTCAAAGGAGAGGACTCCCAATATTAACTACTTTCAGGAGGCCAGAAACACTCCAGAGACTTTTCTCCCAGATGGAATTCTCTGTGGCATCACAACTTTCTTCACAAATGTATTAATATTACAGCCTTTATTCTTTTTTTGTAGATGTCATTCCAACTTCTGGAAACCTTAGGGGAGACCTGAGCTTTAGATGGATTCCTTGGATATCAGATAGGCAAACCCAATAGACTCCACAGATATATCAAATCTTATGCTGAAAGAACCTCATCTGACAGGCCCCATAAAAACACAATTGGGCAACTATGTCTTAAGGCCATTTCTACAGGCTATTGCATAAATGTTTCCTGCTATACTTAAATGAGCTTTGAAGGACTGGACTTATTTAGACTTTCTTTATTTGCAGGTGCCTTGGGCTGTGACACACTGTCCTGATAGAAGCCCATCTCTTGGGGTCCTGCAGTACTGGGTTGTCCCACACATCATGAGTGGCTGCAATGAATGGGCAGAGTAGGAAGTGATTTGAAACTCTATTTCTAAGCTCGAGGATCTTTCCTCTGATTTTTTTTTCCAGTGCTGTTCCAGTGACGCAAGTCACTTGTTGGAGGAAAGGGGAAGGCAGTGGCTGCTCTGGGGACAAAGATCCCTGCAAAGGGTGGCAGAGACCAGAACAATATATTCATTAAAAGATGATCCTCTCAAAGGTGGGAACATAGTTAGGAATGTTGGATGTTCCTCCTGCATGGAATGGAATTTCCAAAAAAAGCATTTGGAGACAGAGCCCTACAAATATCAAATATGGATGGGGACACTCATGCTGGGGCTGAAGAGCATTTGAGGAAGTGTCTGGGGTCCAGACCTCAAAGTGATCGCTCAGGCTGTGGTTTAGCAATACAGTAAACCCAGCTTCAGGGCTCCAAAAGCCCTATCAAAAATGCTAAGGCATGCAACACGAAGCACTGATTCACTATAAACTCATTCTCCTGCTCAGACAGCTGCAGTGGAGAAATTTTGTCTTTAAGCAGGCATGGTCTGTCTGTGCCATTCTAACTTTGCCAAGTACCATCTATCAGCTCAAATGCCGTATCACACATTCTGGATAGTTTGACGGAACAGCCACTGGACACCAGTGCCTCATCTGGGTTGGATCCACTCTGGTGGCTGCTTTGGCAGCACCCACATAGGTAGGAATTGATGAGGAGCCTTGGCCTCAGACTGGTAGTGTGTTGGCATCTGCTTGGGGTCTGTTCCTGATGTGGATAGCACCTGTTGCAAGAGGCTTGGGTTCCCCTAACAGATGCTGCCAGAATATACCTGGGCCATACATCGGGAGAGCAGGAGGAAGGCAGAGAGGTAGGAAGAGATGGTAACTTGGTGCTACCGCTTTCTTTAGGAAAAAAAAAATATATGTCTGCATTGAATGAGAGGAGGAGGTGGATGCTAAAAGCTGAGCCTAGATATATTTCTGCATTGAATGAGAGGAGGAGGTGGATGCTAAAAGCTGAGCCTAGACTTGGTTACAAAACAGGGACAGAAGCTGGGAGGGACCACAGAGTCCAATAACCTGCAGCCCCTCTTGCCACCCTCCCCTCCTGTCCACCTTGTTTCCCATGGCCCTGCTCCAGCTCAGGACTCCCCCCGCCTCACCTCGGGGCTGAGCTCTCTGGTAGGGACCAGGCTGGGCTGGCAGAGTTGGGGGGTCGGGGGGGGATCGGCAGGTTTCCTTCTCTGGGACTGCAGAGTTAACTTCTGCATGGCCTCAT